GAGGCAGTGGGACACATCGAGGAAAACATGGGACGTAGGATTATAAAACTGGAGTTTATATCCTGGCTTCCAGGCTAATGAGCTGTGTGAATGTGTTGGGTTCCTTTAAGTTTGTTCCCTAATCTATAAATTAGGAATATTACCCGTAGGTAGGTAGAAGGATCAAATAACGATATCACATGACCTATAAGAGGTTGTACCATGTGAGTGTTTTTGACCAAGGGGCAGGGTCACCAGGTGAGCGTTAAGAGGTCAAATTCATTTATCTAGTGCTCCTGGCTCTATACTACACGGCTTCTGCTTTGCCCTGTTTCTGGACACTACCTCACTCATGATCCTTTTCCGGTGTCAGTCCCTGTTCCCTTGCCAGCCCGGAAGCCACCCCGTCCCTCCCAGCTTCTTTGAGGGCTGATTTACCGATTGCTGGTTGATAACCCCTCCCTAGAGAGCTCCCTGGAGCCTGCTACACTTCCAGTCTCTTGGGCCTTGTGACTGCTGGCCAGAGGTCCCTCCTCGTCTTCCTGCCTGGGCCAGCTCAGTGTTGGGCTGGTAGGGGAAGAGTTCCCAATCACACAGCCACACCCACTCCCCTGCTCTGTGTGGAACTGAAGATTTACAAGCCCAAGAGTCTTGCTCTCAAAATGCCAGTCTCCCAGATAATCTTGTGGACACAAGAAATGGCCCTTTTTTCCTACCCTAAAAAACTGATTGCTCCTTTCCCCAGGGAAGGAGTCACAGAATCCTAAGAATGAATGTGCCCTAACTTGCCCCAGTGTGCCCAGGCCTTAGGCATTTCCTGACTCTGCCCTCCCGCCCCCACCCTGTGCTCCTAGGGGGCCTTTCCTACCTCCATCGTCCTATTCTCTGCTCCCAGGGCTCTTGACTCATTTCATCTACCTATTACCCCTGTCACAGGCATCTTTCTCCCCCATTTCATGGATTGGGACACTGAGGCCCAGAGAGGGTAAGTGCCTCATGCTTGGTTGCAGTGGGTCAGCAGCAGAACAGAGCTGGGGCACAGACTCAGGTTAGGTCTCTTCACTTCCAGTCTGGGGTTCTCTCCACTGCCCTAGGGGGCCCTTATTTCCTTCCCAGACCCATTCCCAAGGTTCTCTATCCTCTCTCCTGAGATTGAACACATACTTATTCATGCAAGTAAGACTGAAATATTTTTAATGCCCAGAGAGGCCACCCTACAGAGTGAAGCCATTTCCCTCCAAGCTGGTCCCAGGGACCATCCCTGGGTCCTATGCAGATCCCATACCACCAGAATTCCTTTTCTATCTCCCAATGGGAGATTCCTTCCCCCCTCTCCCCATTTAGTTTTTGAGGCTTCTGAACCAATGATCGAGAGGTCCAGCTGGGGGTAAGGGGTTCTCGGACCAGGGTATAGTTTGTATAAAGTGAAATGGGGAAAATGGGCCAGTGGTGATGGTGTTTGGGTGGAACAAGAGATACTTAAGAGATTGGGTGTGTCTAAAACAAGGCTGTCTCCTCCCAGGAGTAGGGACCTGGTTGTGGGAGAGAGTCAGGGAAAGGAAGTCACATACTAGCCAAAAAAAGTCCCCCATGGCTGAGAGGAAGTAGCCAATGAGAGGAGGAATCTTGCCACAGCAGTATAAATAATCACAGGGTTTCCGGAAGCTCTGCTCTGTTCCAGAACTTAGAAGAGCAGTTCCTCATGCCAAAGCCCTGTGAACTGCAGGGAGGACTAGGGTGATGGCTGGAGCTGGGATTTCTCATACTTACTCCACCAATAATTATAGCAGCCTATGTATTTGGCATTTCCTATGTGCCATACCTCATGCCAAACACTTTCTTCATGTTCAATCATTTCATTCTCTTGGCAGTTCTAACACAACAGGCAAGATTATTCCCATTTCACAGATGAGAAATTTGAGACTCAGGAAACTTAAATATGTTGCCCAAGATCAAACACGACTGGTTGGTGGAGCTGTGATTAGAATCCCTGGCCAGTCTGATGTCAGCATGTATTTCTCAGTGATAGTGCTTTAATGGCACTATGTTCTCTATCTAAGAGTCTGGAAGCTTCTGAAATTTTTCAGAGGCACATGCCATGATCTCAGGAAAAGGACGTACCATTAACGGGGAAATCAAATGTTTGTTTTCCTCTTCTGTCCAACCCTCTTGCCTGAGCTTGGAGGACCTCCCTCCACCCCATCAGGGGCCTTGAGAGAGGGTGCTGATGTCTGGGAGCCACAGCCTCTGCCTTATTCATCATTACATACCAGATTCCAGACCAAATCCCAACCCTGGCTCAGTCTCCAGGATTCTCCTGCACGGAGTTGCCAGATAGGGTTTACTGTGCTTTATAAGAGTTATGAGGTCAGCTCTCCCTCCTTCTCCCCACCCCTCAGGCACCCGGGAATTGAGATAGGGCAGCTGTCTAGAGAATTGTGCTCCTTACTCAGCAGGTTTCTCATTGTGCCTTTTGGTTTGCACTCAGTAGCTAAGATGTCGGGTCTGGACTTAAAACATCAGTGCACTGGGCAGGGTGGGCCCTGAGTTGGTAGAGGGTGCACCCGTGGCTACATCTCAGAGTGACCTGGGACAGCTGCTGTGTGCCAGAACCTCTCTGTAGTCTACTCAGTGGGAGGGGTCCCCATCTGGTAGAGAATCTGGTAGATCCTATACTTATGTACCTCACTTTTTGTGTCTATACTGCTTGGAGAAAAAAAAAAAGGCAGCTAATACTTATTTTGACCCAAGGCACTGTTCTAAATGGCATAGATGTGTTAATTTACATAATCCTTATAACAACCCAAAAAGGTGGGTATTATTTTATCCTCATTTTACAGATAAGAAAATGGAGGCTTAGAGGTTAAGTAATTTGTCCAGGGTCACACAGATAGGAAATAGCAGAACCAGGATTTACTTTATTCAGTCTGGTACCAGAACTTATTTGCTTCACATAATATATTACACATTATACTGCCATCCTCCATACATCTGAGCATCTTGGCTTGGTCTCAAGGCCTCTCTCATTGTATCATTTCTCTCTCTTTCTCTCCCTCTGTCTTCATGGGATTGCAGGATGGTGTCAGGTTGAGAGAACAGGAAATGGTTTCCATCCATGTGTTTCCATTCTTTCTCCCAGTGGGTAGAGTCCTCCCTAACCATGAGTGTCCCTTTAATCTGTCCATAGGTTACTGCATCCGGAGGGTCCCAGAAGGGGAAGGAGGCGTTGCCTCCACTGTAGCAGCTGCACCCACGATGCAGAGCATCAAGTGTGTGGTGGTGGGCGATGGGGCTGTGGGCAAGACGTGCCTGCTCATCTGCTACACAACTAATGCCTTCCCCAAGGAATACATCCCCACGGTGTTCGACAATTACAGTGCCCAGAGCGCAGTTGATGGGCGTACGGTGAACCTGAACCTGTGGGACACAGCGGGCCAGGAGGAGTACGACCGACTCCGCACACTCTCCTACCCTCAGACCAACGTCTTTGTCATCTGTTTCTCCATTGCCAGTCCGCCCTCCTACGAGAATGTGCGGCACAAGTGGCATCCAGAGGTGTGCCACCACTGCCCTGATGTGCCCATCCTCCTAGTGGGCACCAAGAAGGACCTGAGAGCCCAGCCTGACACCCTACGGCGCCTTAAGGAGCAGGGCCAGGCACCTATCACACCGCAGCAGGGCCAGGCCCTGGCCAAGCAGATCCATGCTGTGCGCTACCTCGAGTGCTCGGCCCTGCAGCAGGACGGCGTCAAGGAAGTGTTTGCTGAGGCTGTCCGGGCTGTGCTCAACCCCACGCCCATCAAGCGTGGGCGGTCCTGTGTCCTCTTGTGACCCTGGCACTCAGCTTGGAGGCTGCCCCTATCCCCCCACCAGTTGTGCCTTGGCGCCTTGTCTGCCCCCAGCTGTGCCTTAAGGACTAATTCTGGCACCCCTTGCCAGGGGGCTCCCTGAATGCCCTTTTCTCTGAATGCCTAATTCTCCCTACTGAAACCCACAGGGAAGGGGGCTTTGGGCCCTGCCCCACTCTGCTTGGGAGTACCAGGTATCCCTGAGAGCTCACCCAGGCTGAGAGTGGATGACCCCTCTCCAAGAAGCCAACCTAAGTGCCCCTCCCCCATTTTCCCTACTGATCCAGCTTTCCACACAGATGTTGCTGCCTATTGTGGTGCCTTCTTTCAGGTTAGGAGCTCTCAGCTGTCCCTGACTTCTCCCTCGCTGCTCTTTGAATTGCTCCTCCCTCAAGATGCTCTCCCCCTTCCCTCCAAAGGAGCCACAGAATCCTGAGAAGATGAATGTGCCCTAACCTACCCCCATGTGCCCAGGCCTTATGCATTCGCTGACTGACTCAGCCCCCCCCTTCCCCAGGCTCCTGGGGGCCTTTCCTACCCCCATCAGCATCAATAAAACCTCCTGTCTCCAGTGGCCCTGGCTCCTCCCTGTGTGCTAGGCATTGGGGGTTGGGCAGGGGATGGGCATGGGCTAGGGCTCCCCAGAGACTGGGAGCCTTTTGTTTCCTGTAAAAGGGGACAGGAGACAATAGGCTTCATTGTGGTCCCCCCACCCCCCAATTTCCCTAACAAAGCTCTGGGCTCCCTTGGAGGGGCCAGTCTTGTGCTGGGCCCCAACCACAGATTCTGTAGTTGACTAGGATACAAAGTCTAAAAATCTCTGATCTAAGGCTCAGAAAGGAAGAGGTTGAGAGCCACCAGCCTGCAAGCAGGTGCTCACAGTCATGCATTTGAGCTGTTTGCTTACAGGTCTTTACTGACAGAGACTGGAAAAGCCTGTGCCTCAAACCAAGACTTCCAGTTACCCCAGCTACCAAGCCTAGAGTCATTACAGGGATAGCCCAGTCACTCCTACTCACTGAAATTGGGGCTTAGACCAGCCTTAAGGAGACTCCAGGCCTAAGGTAGGAAGCCACTTGGAATCACACCCTGCCATGGACTTATTCCCTCCATCCTGGAGCCTGTCTCTCACCTCAGTTCCATTAAACAAAGACAAGCAGGCCTAGCCCAGGCTTTTGGCAAAAAAGAAAAAAAAAATTATTTTCCTTCAAAATAAAATGTACAACCAGAAGAGGTCAGGGCATGGGGCAGTAGGAGTAGAGGGGGATACCAGAGAGCCCATTTGGGGGCAGGAATCTGCCTCTGACCCCACTCCACACCTTTGCCAAGAAGAAAGAGTTTGTAAGCCAGATATTTCAGAAGGGAAGGAAAAGAGGTGCTGCACCAGTGCTTTTCCTGGAGCAAGTCACCCTTCAGGTACAGAGCACCACCTCCATAAGGCAGTGTCAGAACCGCAGACTGGCCGAGCCCTTAAAAATCATACAGCTCCCCCCCCCCAAAAAAAAAATCATACAGCCTTCCAACCCTCCATCACCCACATGGACACACTGAGGCTCAGGCAGGGAAAGGTACATGCTAAATTGGAGGTGAGCTCAGGCCTAGAACACCTGAGCAAACCTGGCAGGGCACTGTGGCCTTAGGTATGCCTGGGTGTGTACAGGAGAGGACTAGACACATCAGTTAAGTGAATGACCCTGTGGAGAGAAGTGGCTGTGGTTTTCAGGTAGCAGCCACTGCTAAGTGGTCCCCGACCTCAGCAAGAAGGTGGCTATGTAAAGACCAAGAACCGATGGTGGTTATGAACCTCAGGACTTTTTTTAGCACCAGATGGTGGAGCTCTCCTGCCAGCTCAGCTTCTTGGGGCTTCTCAGATAAGGGTGACGCTGCTGCTCGAAGGTTCCTGTGCCTTCAAGTGGGGTGAGGGAAAGGAGCAGGGCTGTCCGAAGCCCTGTCCTGTGCCTTTCTCCTTTCTTCCCGCCCCGCCCCCAGCTTCAGCATGACCCACAGAGGACACGGGGTGGGGAAGGCCAGAGTAGTTTCTTGTTTCTAGTTTCTGGGCAGTGGACTGCCTCTTTCCTAGCAGGAGAGAAAGGGTTTAGAATCGCTTTTCCTCAGGCTGGGAGGTAATGAGCAGCTCCTTGTTCCCGAAGTCCCACCAGGCCGTCATGTGGAATGCCATGTTGGTTAGGACAACAGTATACTCCAGGATGGCAAAAATGGTGTACACTGTTGTGAGGACACAAAAACAGGGCATGGTGAGCCTTCTGCCCCCACCCCACCCTCCCGGGGCTTCCTAAGAAGTCCCCACCACCACATCTCTATACAGGGGACACGATGGCAGCCAGCCCCCAAGACCACTGCCATATCGCACACTACAGAAAACACAACAGTCCCATAGCCACTGTGACAACCTATGGATCCCAGCCTGGCCTCACCTCCAGCCTCACAATACATGTTGTGCCGAAAGTAGACAGCCAGCGCCGTGAAGAAGGAGATGAAGTTGATGATGAAAAGCCGCTGTTTCCAGTTGTAGGACTTGCGGTCCTAGGGGAGTGGGCTATCTGATCACTCTGCAGCCTGTTGGATGTGTGTGGGCAGCCTCCCCTCTTGGCCTCAATTCCTAAGGGCTGTGTCTTAGCTCCCTTGGTTATGGAATGGGATACAGGCAAGGGCAGCAGAAATGATGGGCATGTTCATATCCCTCCCTGCATTTGGGAGTATAATGAGGCCAAGGAGCAGTGGTGTCCCTGCCCCTCCCACTTTAGCAGGATGGAATATAAAAGTTACTTGGAGCCACCCACCCACCTGACACCTCCACATACTGTGGAGAGAAGAAAGGTGTGGGGGACGTAGGGGGCACTGGAGTTATTATAGACCACAGACCCCTGACACCATTCCTAACCCACAGCAGGGTGAGTGCTCTCCCACATTCTATCCCTACTTGGAGCCTCCATCTCTTCTATTGTCCGTCTTCCATCCTACCCAAACACAGCCCTCGATTCTGACCAATTGATCACCCTCCACTTGTCCCGAAGTCCAAGTCCCAGGCCCAGCCCGGATTCCCGTTAGAACTCTGGTTCCCACCTCATCATTACCCGCATCCCGAGGATGGGTGTCCTTGACTTTCCTCTGGGCCGCTTGGAACCCCACTAGGGGTAGACCGTACCTCCTGACTTACTGTGTGCTTCTTGGTCAGCCTCCAGAGAATACAGGTGAGGAGCATGTGACCGAGGGATGAGGCAATGAACACGATGAAAGCATTTTCGTGGATGGCTGGAGGGAGAGAGGGGGCATTGGGAGCATGCACTTCAGGGAGCATCCGAACCCCTCCGTCTGAAGGTCCAAGCGAGGGAGGGTGTGGGGGTGGCCCTCCCCAACCCTTCCCTGCTCCTCCTTCCCTCATCTGGGCACCCACTGAAGTCCTCAGAAGAGGAGACGTAGGTGAGCACTAGCAGCGCAAGGTTCTCCACGACGTTGAGGCCGAAGTTGAGGCGGCAAAGTGGGCGGTAGCCAGGACACGGGGACGCGCAGCTGAGGTAGTGGTTCCAGTAGGCGAAGGCCACCAAGAAGCGGGGCGCCGAGTGCAGGCCGATGCAGAAGCGCCACACGTAGCGCTGGGGCACCTCCCCACCGATGGCCGAGCTCACCGAAGGCAGGTAATTGGGCACCTAGAGAGTTGTGACCCGTCTGGTGGCAGGCCTCCACTGGCCCCACCCACCTGGAGAGCCTTCTCTCCATCTGCCAGAAATCACCCTGGCTCTCCTAAGGCTCTGCTCCAGCCCCTTCCACTCTAGGAAGGCCTCCTTGGGGCATTCCCTAGAGCTCTCCTGGGAGACGTCCCCTTCCAGGTTCCAGCCCCCAGGTAGCCTGATGGAAACTATACATGGCTGGGATGTCCGGGTGGCATAATACTGTAGTCCCAGGATCAAGTCCTACATTGGACTCCCTGCGTGGAGTCTGTTTCTCTCTCTGCCTGTGTCTCTGACCCAGAGCTGGGTCAGAAGGGTACCCCCACCCTGATTATGCTTAAGAAAGTGGGTGCTCTTAACCTGGGATAGTCTAAGAAAATGACCCTACTCTTATGCATCTCTCTCATTCATCTTTCTCAAAGCCTGGAATTCCTCATTCCTTAAGGAATTGGAGTACTATTCTTTAAAGTTGAGGAAGAGGGTGCCTGGATGGCTCAGTGGTTGAGTGTCTGCCTTCGGCTCAGGTCATGATCCCAGGGTCCTGGGATCGAGTCCTGCATGGGGCTCCCCATGGGGAGCCTGCTTCTCCCTCTGCCTGTCTCTGCCTCTCTCTGTGTGTCTTGAATGAAGGAATGAATGAATGAATGAATGAATGAATAAATAAATAAATAAATAAATAAATAAATAAATAAAGTAGAGGAAGGATGGACACCTGGGTGGCTCAGTGGTTGAGTGTCTGCCTTTGCTTTGGCTCAGGTCCTGATCCCAGAGTCCTGGGATCGAGTCCTGCATCAGGCTCCCTGTAGGGAGCCTGCTTCTCCCTCTGTCTATGTCTCTGCCTCTCTCTCTCTCTCTGTCAAATGAATGAATAAATAAAATCTTTTTAAAATTTTTTAAAGTTGAGGAAGGAGGAAGAGGCACATGTGAGAACTGGTGTGTTGTGTGACAGGGTGAGAGGATGAGGGATGAATGAACAACAGTGTAGATGGTGACAGGACAGCCAGGGATAGGAGGATGACCTCTCAGACTCTAGGGCCTATCTTTAATATGCATGTAACTCACCAGGGCTTGTGTGAGAATGTAGCCAGTCTGGAATATGAGGATCTGCATTTCCAAAGGATTTCAGGACTGGAAGCTATCAGCTTGCTGCGCACACTTTCTGTGGACTTTTTTAGACTTTCAAGAAGACCCAGAGCAGTGCCAGAGCCCAGTGACCCAGCAAGTGAATGACCCTGCTGTGACTATAGCAGGGCCAGTCTTCAGAGATGGAGTTCTAAGAGATCCCTTTCTTTCTCTTAATGGGGATGTTGACTGGGTCTCCATCAAGGCGGGGCAGGTGGCAATGACGGAGGTAGCTCATGGAGCAGGGTTCGGCCTGGGGGAACACCAGCCAGGGGCTTTGAAGCCTTCATGGGAAAGGGAACAGATTCCCCTCAGCACTCTCAGAGGCAGCTTGGGGACAGGGTGCTGTTCTCAAGGCTAAGGCTTGAGATAATAACATTGCCTGAGACCAGGCTCAGATACTCACTCTGAGTAAAGAGGCAGCATGGAGGCTACAGAGCCACACAAATCCAGGTCTGCATCCCATCTCTGCCTTTATTAGATGAGTGACCTTGAGCAGGTCACTTCACCTCCCAGAGCTTCAACTTCCTCACTGGCAAAATAGGGATGCTACCACCTACCTTGCAGGATGGTTCCGAATATTAAATATAATGTCTGCAGAGCATCTGCAATGTTTGGTACACAATGGCTACAAATGATGGCTTTCAGAAGACCAATTTTTTGCTGAAAAGCCCACAAATAGCTGGTGAGCTATGTGGTTCTTGAACATGGCAAGACTGCACATGAGCTAGAGGTGGAAATCCTATCTTTGCCAGAGATTTCTGAGACCTCCAAGTCTCCTCACTTTTCAGCCCCTCTGAGTAGGTCCCCAGAGTAAGGTCAGTAGGGGTGTTGCCTTTACTTCCTAGAATATTCATTCTGCCCCAACCCCAGCAAGTGTAATGGGAGCAGAACCAACAGGAGCTTTTTTTTTTTTTTTTTTTTTTTTTTTTTTTTTAGCATGAGCTTCTAAAGCTTGGCTGGGAGGGCCTAGAACCCTAACTGGGAAACAGGTAAAGGGTAGAGATGGCAAAGAGCTGGGGGACATCTCAGGAGGAAGGGAGGGCCCTCTGGCTACTCATGCCATACTCAGAAGTTGCTCTCAGATTAGGGGTTGAGGTAGGATGCTGCGCAGGCATTTCTTCTTTCTCTCTTTCACACACACACACACAATCAGGTATAGATATTGATATCTGTCACCGCATCCCACACACACAAGTTCCCCACTCACCAACTATGCTAGCAATATCAGGAACTATCAGAGACCAGGTCCCCAGTTCACTCTAAGTCTCCCCATGAGCTCAGAACTTAAGGTACTGAGATGGGAACATAACCCCTTTCCCCAAGAACAGAAACCCTTCCACTGGCATGGAAGATGTGGCTCAGTGGATCTATGGCAGGTCAGTAGATAAGAAATTAACATAGTATAAAGGGTGAGGGTCCAAAAAATTCCTTATTATAACACCTCAGATTTCACCATTAGAGATTCATTCATTTGATAAAGTCCCCTGAAGTTATGGATGATTTTTCTATCTACTGCCCCCATCCCTTGCCAACTGGACACAACCTCTTATCCCTATCAATTCAACCAGTTACCCTTCTCTGGACTCCATCCCCACCTCTCCATCCTCATAATCCCTATGTTAGTTCTGGTCTCTCCAGTAGCATGAACTATTATTACACTAGCCTCCTCACTGATCTCCCTATTCTTGCCACCTACCCTTAAATCTGTTCTCCACTCAGGAGCCAGAATGGTCTTCTAAAGCATAAATCCGATTACGTCCCTCCCCTGCTTAAAATCATTCTAAAGCTCACCACTGCCCTCTGGATAAAATCATAAGTCATCAGCCTGGCATTCGCAAAATTCTTCTTTACCTGAATAGCTGCAATGCCCCCTGCTTCAGGAAGGAAGTCTTCCCCACATCCAGGCTAGATGAAGCACTTCCTTTGGGCCCCCTGATCCCTATGCTCCCCTTTATCAGAGCAGGAGTCCCATCTCACTGGGCCTGGGACTGTCTCTTGCAGGATGAGAGGCTCAGAGCAAGTCCATATTCAGTTCCAGGCCCCTGACAGAACCTCTGGCCCCGAGCCCTTGGGAAAGGCTTGGTGGACTGCTCCTAGAGGAAAGAAGTCCATGTAGCTTTCTAACCAGCAGAGCCCTGAGTGGACACAGGTTGTAGGACCTGAGGCTGCCAGAGGGAGAAACCACACTAGAAGATTCCAGGGTACCTGCCACCACCTCTGACTTCTCCTGGCTCCAGGCCCCATCTGACTTCTCAGTCCTGGCTTCCTTCCCAGTCTGGTTTTTCATCAGCCTCCTCTTCCCTCTCATGACCTCTCTTGCCTATTTCCCTCCCTTCTCTTTCCCTCTCCCATCCAATCCCTGGGACTCTGTGATCTTCTACTCTCAGAGGACCATGAATCCACTCTCACTCTGTCCCTGCTCACAAATTCCCCCTGCCATCCCTTTAGATCCCCTTCCCCTTTCTCTGAGCCCCCCCCTTTTCTCCCACTCTCTGATTCCAATCTTACCGCCATCTCTCAACCTGGCCCTGACCCAGGAGCGGGGGAGTTTGGCACTCACCCCACAGTCAGTGGCCACCGTGTACTCAAAGTGGAACACCAGGGACCAGATGATGCAGAAGAAGAAGCCGAACATGGGGAAAGTGATGACCCACCAGATCATGGCCGTGAAGCGGAGCCGGAACACAGGCCCATCCGGGTCCAAGGGCTGTGAGGCCGCAGAGAACATCCTGTAGGGAGTGGTGCCCAAGTAGGGCGAGGGACAGGACTTGGGGCCTGGTGGGACACCTGGCCCTTGGGAAGTGGGACCTTTCCCAGAGCTGGCTCCTCTGGGTATTGGGAAGAGCCAGAGTAGAAAGAGCAGAAGGGGAAAAGGAAAGCAGTGCAGAAGATAAGGAGATGCAGAGAGAGATGGGGCAGGAGCTGCTGAGTCAGGCAGGGTCAGCTCTTAGGAACCCTTTTGGCCCAATGGTCATGTAGGTCCACCTCCTGAAGAGTCTGGAGATGAGAGGTTCCCAGTGGCCTGAACCCGGGCAGTTCTGATGGGCCACCTCATTCTCAAGACTCTCATACCCACTCAGAAGGGTCAGAGGTAGAAAGGTTATTATTTTGTTCCATAGAAGAGGAGAGCTATGCCAGGATCAAACATTAGGACTAAGGCCTCAGCCACCTGACAGCCTAAAGCTCCCAAGTCAAGGCTTTCTTCAGGCCAAATAACCTAGACAAAGGACCCTTGGCTCAGACTGGCCCAAGCCCTCCCACTGACCCTGTCTGATCACATTCCTGCTCTTCACCCAAGTTCAACTAGGAACAGTGGGAGTGCCCAGAACCTATTTCTCTGGGGCCACATGCTGCCAACCAGCACACCCCCAGGCTTAGAATGATCCAAGCCTCAGGCCAGCAGCACTGTCATCTCAAGATACCAGGGTCCCTACAGAAGCCCAGACTTCTACCTCCTTCCTCTCTCAAAAGACTGTGTCACCCAATCCAAAGTTTATAGGAATCTGAGTGTCCACTCACCTTGAGCCTGTATGCTGGGTTGGATCCAGCAAGGACAAACTCAGACCAAGGGAGCTGAGCTTCTTCCACTAGGCAGAGAACTCCCTCCTCTCACCCCCCACTGCCCCAACCACCATGACTTGCAAGCAGGGTTCCCTTCTGGGGGACAGACAGAAATGGCTTTGTGTTAAAAGGCCTAGGATCAAACCTCCCTTGGGACTCATGCCTCCCTCCGTTAAGGGATCCCCAGTCCACTACTCCAGCTCAGCATCAGAAAAATGGGGCAGGGGCGCGCACTGGGCAACACTCACACTGGGTGCTGACGGATCCGGGGCTTGGCTTGAGGGCTGTAGCCAGACTGAGACTGTCCTAGGACTGGAGGGTCCCACCCCTAACTCCCCAGAGCCTGCCCTCCCGCCCACAGAGCCCAGATCTCCACGCCTGCCCAAGCACACAGCCCTCCCAAGGCCAACAAGTTCATATCATAATTCCTGGAACACTCTGCAAAGATAAGAGTGATAGTGGCTAAGGTCGGCCTACAGTAGCTTCTTTGCCAAGGATGGGTATAGGTACCTTTCTGAAGGCTGTGTCCTGGGATATGGGCAGGTCTCTGGGAAGGGGAAGGGAGAAAGCAGAATAGGATTTCACCCCTTTTTGTTGGAGCAGGATTATGTCTGTTGGGCCTAACTGAAGAGCTAGTTAATCTTAGGATAATAGATTTAAGACCCAAAAGAGCTCTAGGGGCACCTGGGTGGCTCAGTCGGTTGAGTATCCGCCTCTGACTCAGGTCATGATCCTGGGGTCCTGAGATTGAGTCCCACATTGAGCTACCCTGCACTGTGGGAAGTCTGCTGCTCCCTCTGCTTATGCTCTCTCTCTCTGTCAAATAAATAAATAAAAACTTTAAGAAACAAAACATATCTAGATGGGACTGAATATGAGGTGATCAGTGTCCAGCCTGCTGTGCAGAAACAGCTAACATCAGTTCAAGATACCTTAACAGGGGTCTACCAGCCAGTAATAGGAATGCTACAGTACTGCTGTTGACCGTACTGCCCAGGCCATATGAAGTCCTATGCCCAGATCAGGGCCTCATATGGAGGAAACAGTGACCAACTGGGCCAAAACTAGGGGCGCATGTCCTGTGAGGGTTGTCTAAAAGAACTGGAGTTATGCTACCCAATAAGAGTAAACTCAGGGACCCCCCATCACAGCTGTCCCATCTCTGCAGGACTGGTAATAACGTCAGGAGGAGAAAGCAGCTCTCAGGGTCCCGAAACAGACCCAGTGCAAAAACAGGGATTCACCTGAAAGAGAATGTATCCTCACTACAAGAGTCTGCCAATTGTTAGTCACTCAGCCTCCTTGGAATAGGCTGCCTGGAGAGGAAGGAAGCTCCCCATCACTAGGGATATGCAAGCAAAGGCAAAGTCATCTAATTATAGATGCATTAGACTAAGGTTATTTCTTTTATTCCTAGGGTTGGCTATTCCTGGAATACTCTAGGTGAGAAATACAGAACATACATCCACCTGGATTGTCCCTAGGTGGCTCCAACATAGTAGTCCCAGGGAGTGGGGACAAATCACCCCCTGGGTCACTAAGCTCAGTCCTGGCCCAGAGTGGCCAGGTACCTGTGCCCCTATGCCCATGCCTTAGCTCTCCAACTAGTATGCCAAGAATGGGTTATACATATATCAGGTATGCTGGGTTATTGATCCCATTAGCCCTTAGGAGCCAGCCATGAGGGGCAGAGCAAATAGCTTACTCCACTTAACTCCATATACCGTACAAATAATATTATAATTTTCTGGATGGACTATGACAACACGGCACCAGGTACCAGGTACCAATTCCCGAGGCATTGGCGGTGGGGGAGGGGGTCCTATTTATTTACTCAACAAATTCTGATTCAGATGTAATGCCCACTTTGAAGAAGCTCCTGGTCTGGTGGGGAACAAGACACAAATATGATTTGATAGAGCTGTATGAAAAATAGGGAACTCTCAGAGGAGGGAGTGATTAAGTCTGCCCCCAAGGAGGCTAGGGAAGGCTTTTCAAAGGAAGAGACACTTGAGAAGAGTTTTGCAAGACACAAAGGAGTTGATGCGTGAGAGGAACATCTGAGGCACTATCTAAGGTAAAAACTAGGTTGGGAAAAGCCATTGGTTGGACCCTTTCTGATCCTTTCCCCCCACTCCATCATCTGGTCACCCCTTTTCCTTCCAGTTCTGTTCTTTCTGATAGCTCCCAGCCCGGGGTCTCATCAGACTGGCCACTCACAGCTCAAGGCCAATATCTATCCATTGACAAATCAAGGACAAGAAAACTTCAAGTCCTATGAACAAAAGAGGTAGGCCCCATTCCACACCGCCAGCCAGACCCCAGTCCTAGTCATAGCCCTATTTTTGGAGCAGATGCTTTTTATAGGAAGGCGGGAAGTTGAGCTGAGTGAGGGCCTTCATAGCTCTCTCTGATGCTACTCCAAGGGTCTATGTCCAGGCCCTGCCTCTTTTCCACCTAGAGCACCTAAGCTCTTCCTCTCCTCCCTATCTTCCAACCTGACAAACTCCTCTTCCTCCTCTCCCTTCTGCTTCTTGCCCTTCACATTTCCCAAACCACCTGCCTATTCTTCCTCTGTCTAGCTCTACACTAGCCCTGAGAAGGAGGATGGTTATCAACTCCATTTTAGACATGAGGAAGCTGAGGCTCAGCCTCTGTGTCTCAGGTAATTCAGAGTCAGTGGATGAACTAGGCATGTAACAGAGGTCAACACAGGTCTCACTCTCTTTACTCTGATATATTACACAGAAAACTCACATTTTTCTCCTGTCAAAAAACTCATTCCATATTCCCATCTAGAGGGTACATGGCTACCTATGGGAACGTAGCTCATATACACATATGGAATACATACACACACACATCATCAGGCCTTCCTCCAGACTTGCACAGATACGGTCTCTCCCACACACATACAGTCATGTCCTTCACAGCCACACACATGCATACATAATCACAATCCCACAGACACAGGCACAGCCCACAGTGCCATACTGAGAGGCTCCAGCACCCTCAACCTCAGGCGTCCTCTCTCTTTATCCCTCACAAAACCCTGGGGCTCCTGAATCTGCCCCTCTATGAAAGTAAAGATTGGGTTCTGGGGCTGCCCAATTCAGGCACACTAGGCTCTAGTGACCTTCATGAAAAGTGGCAGAAGGCCAATTCTTGAGACCCCGATTTGCAGGCACCCTAACCCCCAGCAGCCCAATTTGATTGATGGATCCCACTGGAGAGCTCACTAATCCTGTTAAAATAGAACCAGGATCCAGGCAGCCCGGGTGGCTCAGCGGTTTATTTATTTATTTATTTATTTATTTATTTATTTATTTATTTATTTATTTATTATTTATTTATTTATTTATTTATTGGCTCAGCGGTTTAGTGCCATCTTCAGCCCAGGGTGTGATCCTGGAGACCCGGGATCAAGTCCCAAGTCAGGCTCCCTGCATGGAGCCTCTTCTCCATCTGCCTGTGTCTCTACCTTTCTCTCTCTCTCTCTCTCTCTCTCTGTGTTTCTCATGAACAAATAAATAAAATCTTAAAAAAAAAAGAACCAGGATCCAGAAAGATCCAACTGGGCCTGAATATGAGATACCATTTCCCAACCCCACTTGGCAAGCCCTACCCCACAGTGTGTGGCCGTAGTCTCCTTGAAGTGGAAGAGCAGAGACCAGAGGATGCAGAAGAGGAAGGCGACAAGTGGACAGCAGACCGTGACCAGGGCCACCAGGGTGAAGCGGAGCCGGACCAGGGTCCCATCCCGGTCCAGTGGCAGTGGGACCTGGTACATCTTGTCACACCTGGGGATGAAGTAATGTGCTGTCAAGACCCAAGGCAGCAAGGCTGGGACACAGTGGTGAAGCTGGCCCTTGTGCTCAGTCCTCAGCTTTGCTGTGCTATGGGTTGAAGGGTCTGAGAAGAAAGTCAGCTAGCCCCTAAGCTTGGACAGCCCCTGCCCTGAAGACTGACTGGAAATTCCAAGAGAATATTCATCCTCAATTTCAGAGTAAAGACAATAAACCCAATCTATGCTAAAAACGAAACCTGAATATATTGGGAGCACTACTTCTCCCTTATAAGCTGGCTTTACAGGCCTAGGACAACAGGAGCTGGTTTAACTGGTCTTTCTGGTTTCAGGAACCTATCCTAAAGGCTCCCAGTGGACAGGATGGCTCATCTACACCCATAGGCCTTTGAGCCTCCAGGCTTCAGGGCCTCCCTTCAGCTCTCCCTGCTTCACTCACTGGCCCAGCATCTTCTGTACTTCCAGTCCCTTCCCAGGTTCTGTGTGCCTGCACCACAGTGCACGGCAGCAAGGACTCCATGGAAGCCTATAGAACTCTGACCCCCTGCCTGTCCCCGCCTCCTGCCTCACGTGCTCTGAGGGTGAAAGGCTTTGCAGAATCAGGCCTAGTGCTAGCCTAGGCTTGCTTTTTGCTGCAAAGAGCTGCCTTGTCAGCTTCTGGAGGCTTCCCAGTACCCATGGGGGCCTGTCCATCCCCCACCAGAGATGAAGTAAAGGCTCCTGAGGACTGTGACTGCCCCCCCCCTCCCCAGATGGGAATAGGAAAGTCAGGAACTATAATAACCAAGTATACACCAACAGTCCTAGCCCAGCTTCCCTTAGTGCATAGAAGGTGACATTGAGGCCAAGAGAAGAGTGGGAACCTACTCCAGGTTCTACAACAACTTGAAGGAAGACCCAGCAGTGGGGAGATGTAGGGCCCTGATGGTCACAAACTGCAGCTCTTGCCTTCTGTGACCCCTTCCTTGCTGACCCAGAGGTCTGGGCAGAAAGGTCAGGTTAGGTCAAATTAGGAGGGGAGAGTGAAGGGGTGTCTGTCCAGAAGGGAAAGAAAGGTAAATCAAATCCTATAGAGATGAGTCAGTGAGCCCTGTCCCCACTGCAGCAGAGAAACCAAGATGCAGAGAGAAAAGGTCCTTCCTCAAAGCCAGATGATGAGCCTGAGGGAAAGCCATCCTTGGAACTTGGGCTTCCAGCAGCCAAACTAGGGCTGGCTCCAGATTCATGAAGAACCTGCCCCTCTGGACTCAAAGGTCTCACCAGATCAAGCCCCAACTCTTCCTGGCCCCACCCTGACATTCCAGAACCAGGTGAATACACCTCTGTGTTCTCCTCCATCTTCTCCTACCCACCTCTGCCAGGCCCGATTAGGCAGCCTGCCCCAGTTGCCCAAAGTCCTTCTTCCCTTCAGGAGCCAGGGATCTCCTAGGGTAGTTGGAAGTGACTCTAGTGACCGCCCAAATCAAACACATTTCTTGGATCATCCCCAAATGGACTAGAAGTCCCTACAGGCCTACAG